AAATAATTTATTTCTGGTTTAATAATATAATATTTTATAAAGATAATAATTAAGTATTATGTGAGAATTCAATAATTATTTTAATTATATTTTAGATTTTTATATTTAAAATGAGATGTTTATCTTGTATTTGATTATGTTTATCTGTAATTAGTTACACGAACTCAAATATGGAGTTTTAATAAGTTGTACTTACGCACAATCTATTTGTAATCTTGAAATTTAAGTAATATGCATTAATAAACAGTACTTTACGCATAAAAAGTGGTTTTTCAAGAGTTTTTGTCAAATTCTTTATAATATAATATAGATTATATATATTATATATATATAGAGAGAGAGAGAGAGAGACGTTCAAATGGAAACCGTGTAATTCTTAGAAACCGTGTAAACTAATTTCGACCAATAGAATTTTTTTTCAAATTAAATTTAATCATTAAGGGTATATTGGTCATTTGTATTATTTTCTATTAAATATGGAAGTTATTAATAAATCTTAATTAAGGTAACATAATAAATAATTTTTTTAAATGGTAAGATTTAAATATTTAATTAAATTATAATACTAAAAATTGGATTTTGTTATATTTGTGTCTCGGTTTATTATTGCCAAGATTCATGAAAATCGTAAGTTATTAGATTAATAAATCCATGAAATCAGTAATAGAATGGAAAAAAAATATTCATGAAACCGGTTTCATACATGGTGAAATTGGTGCATGTAGTAAGTGAAAATGATTATGGAATGAGTGCATGATGAAACCAGTTTCATACATGGTGAAATTGGTGTATCATACATGGTGAAATTGGTGTATGGAGTAAGTGAAAATTATTATGAAATGAGTGCATGATTAAATGGGTACTGTAACACCCTCATTTTTTTTTTTGAGAATGTTATGTAACCTGAAACAATTTCCTGAATACATATTCCCAAAAGACGGCTAAATAACACCATTTGAATTATTTATAGCGGAAGTCTTTGAATCGTCCAAAGATTAACTTAAGTTCTAACATGTTTCGCACCAGATTAAGTTATAAAAGATTAATACAACGCTGCTAGACAAAAAGGCTAAAATAAGATAATAATTAGCAACTCTCTAAGCGTGTCCCTTATCCGACTTCGAACTACCTAGCCCTGAGATGCATACTATAGTCAGCTTATAAAGCTCAATGAGTTCATGGTTTGCGTGAGTAGAAAAATCACTTTATATCGTACATATCAACTTGTAAACCTTGTACCAAATAGTATGTATTTTCTGAAAAACATACAACGCAGAAAGAACAGAGATCTCATGACTTGTCTGTCGGGTATGGGTCATTTAGTCACAAACACGCCCTGGGTTGATACTTCAATCTTAATTGATCACCCACTTGTCCGGGTAGTGTTTTATACTGRTCGTGACTTACTGGTCAAATGCCCACCCACTAAAACTGATCATAAACTTTTAAATGAAATAACATGCTAGAGGTATTTGAAAACTGATTAAACACATAGCATGCAACTGGTCATAAAATAACATACATGTAAAATATATCATGTATGTAAACTGAAACATCATGCATATGTACCCATTATCATATAAATCATTTAATGCTTGAAAATAAATTTATACATAAGTATGCATCCCATTGTAAGTTTCATTAATACTCACCTGATATCGTAGTTTGCTTAACTAACGCAGCTGACTGGTAACCTACAATTTATAATAGTAAATAGCATATGAATGATTAATTTCTCCCAAAGGCTAACATAAAAGTCAATTTACGGTCAACTATGTTGGCTAGGGTCAACCTTGGTCAGTTATGCTTAAGAACGTTCTTCACATCAACAAAATCATAGGAACGTGAGTTCCGACCCAAGGTGTATCGTTTAGCTATATTCCTTAAAACGACTAAGTCTGAAAGAAGACCAGAGCCTCTGTGGACGGCCAAAGCCTCTGGACCCTTAAGTTCTTTAGGACCAGAGCCTCTGTGGTTGTATTGACAGAGCACCTCTGCTTGTATACCATAAGAAAATAATTCCACATCAAGGACAGAGCCCCTCTGTGGTCTCTCTTCCAGAGCTTCTGGTCTCACGACCAGAGCCTTTGGTTGAACCATACTTAGAAAATAATACACACCAAGGACAGATCCCCTATGTGGTCTCTCTTCCAGAGCTTCTTGTCTCACGACCAGAGCTTCTGGTTGAATCATACTTGGCAAATATATTTCACCAAGGACCAGAGCCCCTCTGGTCTCTCTTCCAGAGCCTCTGGCTTCACGACCAGAGCCTCTGGTTGAACTAACCTATACTTAGAAAATAATCCCACCAAGACCAAAGCTTCTGTGACTTAACTAATTATTTCAACATTAAGGGCCAGAGCCCCTCTGTGTGTTTCTTCCAGAGCTTCTGTCTAACGCCAAATACAGAGCCCTCATGTAGAGCTTCTGTATAACGTAACTTGCTACAAAGCTCTCATGCAGAGCTCTTGGCTAATATAACTTGATACAAAGCTCCCATGTAGAGCTTCTGTACCATTTAACTTGATACATAACTCTTCATGCAGAGCTTCTGTATAACCTTCTTTAAAGTGGTTTCTAAACAGAATGCGATACAACATATTCACCAAATTAAATCTAAACTTTGAATTCGAACTCTAAAACACGAAGTTTGAACGTGGGCCTTCATAGAGTTCTACACAGGGTCAAATGTACAGCTAAACATTGTAACAACATAAATTTTTTTGGTTGAGCATTTACCTCTAAATGACGGGAAAACAGGGGGTTCTTGCCTGGTCTTGAACTCCGGTTCTTCTCTCTCAAGCTCGACGATTTCCTTCTTTTTTTAAAAGAATGGCGACCCTAAACCAGTGCCCATAATTTATACTCAAACGATTTGGCCTATTAGTTGACCAAATCKGCCGAATCCCGAGTTTTAGGCTGTGAAACTGCTTCTCCACAGCCTGCAACCGGCAGGTCACAGTTTCCCCTTTTGGACCAGGCACCGCCTGTTCCTCTTCTGCCTCACCCAATGTTGACAGCAGGCCCTTCTGCAGTGCAGGTTTGTTGCACATTTACAAAACAGGTCCTTCTGGTTTGGATCTGCTTACATCCGACCCAACCTTTTAACTATCGCGAAATTACACTTTCACCCGTGGCTTGACTTTTCCTTCACTTTTTGTCCGACTTTAAACCTATTTTAATTTCTATTTTTATTTGACACACACACACACACACATATATATATATATATATATATATAAAATAGAAATAATAATAAGGGTAAATTATTTATTCCTCGAAATTTTGGGTTTTACAGGTACAACATGAAATAGGTGCATGATGATATGGGTGCGTGAAGAAAGTGAAACCATTTCAGTAAAGATAAGAAAAAGTGTGTGTAATTAGCGAAAAGTGAAGCAATTTCATTATCAATAGCGTGAAATGACAAATGACTCATCAAACTATGCTGGCCGATGAAATTGGTGATTGAAGAAAGTGAAACCATTTGTCGATGAAATGGGTGCATAACGACCGAGAAACCATTTCATAATTGTTAAGAACATGCTGTTTAATTAGCAAACAGTGAAACCATTTCATAATTAGATTGAAACTGATCAATCTTCCGGAAACTTGAAAATAACAAACGTCTCATCTAGCATTACGTTGATTTGTGTATTGATGAAACTGTGAAACCATTTCATTCATGAAATGTAGTAGTAACTTTTTTTATTATTCAAAAGATTTCATTATGTTAAATTGATTATAGTGTGTTTTATTTTTATTATTAATATATTTTAATGATGGATGTTACTTTTTTTATAATATTTGAACATAAAATTAATATATTATTTTACAAATGATTTTGTTTCATTAATATTACGATATACATGATATGGTTGCCATTAATATTACCATTACCAAAGTTACCATTTTGCCCTTTTTGGGATTATAAAATAATTATTTTATTTTTTATTTTTTTTTAATTTCCTAATATAACCTAAACTAATCTTGACCATTGATCAAGAAAATGAATGGATGAGATTGATTTATATGGTTTACACAAATGATGTCGGTTTTCATTTAATCGCTTATATTATATATATATATATATATATATATATATATACTATCTTGTAAACCAGATTTTTCAAAAGTCTTAAAAACAATTTTTAATGCACAAAGTACTATACATTTATGCATAAAGTCTTAAAACAACTCATAATACATTAAGTACTACTACTTTATGCATTTTAGTCTTAAAATCTCTTAATGTACAATTAAAATAACATATAGTACAAGTTACCAATGCATATTATTACTTTTTCTTTTCATGTTCTCAAGATATTTTTGACACATTTCACTCATGTCTTCACCTTCTCATCCCTCTATGTCTTCTCTCCATCCCCTAAGGTGAGATTCGAATTAATATTCATCATGCGTTATTAAAAGTTCTCTCATTCAATTGCTCTAGAACTCTCGGTCTCGCTCTCTTGATTCTTTGCTCTTGGTATAAATCGAACACATTTGTGGAGTCGTTTAAATATATTGGATTTTAAATTGTCATACAATTTTTTTTCTTCGATAAACTGTAATTGGAACCATAACTCTTATTTATTCAAATTATATTAATATGTAAAGACGAAGTGTAATTTATATCATCATTAAAATCTTCTCTAATAAAACCAATGAAACTTTCAAAATCGTTAAAATTCATGGCTCTCTATCGTATTGTGAGGATACATAACTAGTATATATATATATATATATATATATATTTATTTATTTATTTATGTTAAAAATAATGAGTGTAACGTAGATGGTTAAAATGGTAAACGGTATGGAGTGTGGAAAATATTTGTGGGTGATTTTGGACACCAACACGTGGCCATTGAGTTATGGCGATCGGAGAGATCTCAGCCGTCCATCTACGAAGCCCTAGTATCATAAACACCCTCGGAGCAGGCGTCTCAGCAATTAGGTTGGGAGCGGAGCGATCACTTTTTCTCCGATTGCTGCTTCTGCTTCAGGTATCTGGTAATCCATTTTCTGAACCCGCTTCTCTCTCTCTCTGTCTCTCATTTTTACATTTCGTCTTGTATTTCTACACGCTACAGCGAAAAAAAGAGTCAGAATCAGAAACCTTTGACGAACTAATTCGTCACCAGCCTTCAAAGTAGGGAGTTTGCCACTATCACTGAACGATTTCGCTGCCATGTGGTTTAATTTCGTTTGGTACTAATTGTTTGAGGTTTATTCTAGGTTTCAACTTCCTGATTCATGTTTCTACAATTTATCATAATAGTATCACATGCTATATACAATTGCTTGTCGTTAAATATGAGAATTGGTCTAGGTAAAAATGGTCGTGTTTGTGATATACGTTCTTGGGGGTCAGAAATCGAGCACATAACCTGTTCCAAGCATGTTTTTCTTTCCCATAACCAGCCAGCATAATTCTAACCCACGTTGTTTCTTGATGCCACCAGCACTGATTCTCTGTATCACAATTATAAGCGAATGATAATCTTTTTTTCTATTTTGCAATCAATGTCAATTTGTGGTCAATAATGTGGGGATAGGTCTTATGCACCTGATACAGGAATATGGCAAGGGATAGAAACATCCTTGCATCCTAGATTGATTTCATACAACTATGAGTTAAGGATGCAGAATGTTGGTGTTTTATCTTCTTTAACATCATATCTACTTTAAGGTCAGTTACTTCTTAAGGCCTGTAACTTAAGAATTCAAAGGAGAGGGGGAAGTCTTTGTCTATATTGATAAATTTATTAAACTACATATGTATCTTTTGCATGCCATTGATCCTAAAAGTGGGCGTGGAAAACAATATGGGATTTTAGTGTGATCTCTTGGTATATTTTATTAGCAACAGCTAAGAGGAACATGAGTAGGGTGAATGCATTAATTTGTGGTAAGTTTACATCATCTCATGACTCAGATGCTTTGTTTATGATAGATGGAAAGCGCTTGGACAAATATGAGCTATGGAACCATACATAGGGATGTAAATGGGGTATGGGAGGAATCAGTTTCGAGTCAGGGTTATTTAATTGTAGTTGGAGGTCTTGCTAACTGTGTGAAGAATCATTCCTCCGAAAATAATAGAGAGGAGGATCCCAAAATTTATTTCAAAAATATATAGCCGTGGAGCACTTGGGAATTGGGAGCAATTGAGCAATTTAGAGGATGAGGAGAATTATGTTTCAAATAATTATAGCTGTGGAGCATCTTGGAGCATATGAGCATCGGAGCTTGTGGAGCACGGCTCACCACGAGGATTGCTCTATTGGTTTGCTTCATAGTTTTGTTTTGGTTAATTTTGTTATTGTATTTCACCTCGAAGCGGTGAAAAATGTATATCAGGATATACTACAAACATTTTCAAGCAAAGAAGCATTACTTTCTTGATCACCTTATAAGATCTTATTTTTTCTTTGCAGTTTATTCAGGATCAAAAAATGAGTGGCCGCTTTTCTCGCACAATCTATGTTGGGAATCTTCCCTTGGATATAAGAGAATGGGAAGTTGAAGATCTATTTTACAAGGTCCGAGTTGATTCCCTTGTACTGATCTCCCTGAGTTGCCTACCTTATGTCTTACAGTGAACTTCTACAACCCCTGATTATCTCTCCCACTAGAGAGTCTAAAATGTCTTTAGGCTCTTCAAATACCACCATTCAGTGTGGATCTAGGCACATGAATTTTGAGGTCCTATTATTTTCTTTTCTCATAGCTGATTGGGTGTATTATACATGCGTTGATAGTTTTTAATAATTTTTGTCAAGGTTTTAAAAAGCGGAATCAGGACTCAAGGCGTTTTCCATCCACGCCTCGAGGCGTAAAACAAATAAAATTCATAAATTTTAACAGTAAGCAGAACATAATTCCATACCAAACTTTAAACATCATAGATTCATAAAATATATAAGTCTAAAAACATATCAATTTACAACTTATAGTTCCCCGTAGCATGATCAAGTTGTATAGCTCCACAATCATATTCATAATACTATCACTTTCATCTTCCAATTCCACAGAAAACCGAAAAATAATACAGAAAGCAGAAAATAAAAATAATGCAGAAAACAGAAAATAACAAAAAAAATACATAACACCTTATACATATAGAAAATACATTATACATGATATAGAACATATATACTTGACTGAAATATATATAATATAATATAATACATTATACATAAACTAAAAATATGGACACAAACTAAAAAGAACTTACTTTTTAGGTCAGCCTTTGAGATGAATATCTTCTTGAGAGAGGAAAAAATAAAAAATGGAGATGACAGAACTGGGGTTTGGAGAGCGTGCGTCTCAGAAACGCCTCAAAGCCTCAAGGCACCGCCTCACTGATTGAGGCATAAGCCTCGTCCAGGGACCTTGAGGCGCCGCCTCATAAGCGGTTTTGGACCCCCTCGCCTTGTGGCGCGCCTTGAGGCGTATTCCTCAAACGATTTTGAAAACAATTATTTTTCTTTAATGGGTAAAGCTTTACTACTGTGCATGGCCAAGCAGCTACTGTTGAAAGTTGAGAATATGTTCAGACATTTGTTTATTTTTACTTCATGCAGTATGGGCGTATATTGGACATTGAATTGAAGATACCACCCCGTCCTCCTTGTTATTGTTTTGTGGAGGTAACATATTCAATTTACATTTTTATTCACCTGAATGTTTTTATTTTGGTTTGGAAAGATGATAGCACCACAAGAACCTTTTGACTGCACATGTTTTTTTGAAATTGTAGTTTGAGAGTTCTCGAGACGCTGAAGATGCGATCAGGGGTCGTGATGGATATAATTTTGATGGTTGTCGCCTGAGGGTAAGAAGACAAATTTTTAGTTCTTTGCTAGTGCTGATTCTTGCCTGTATTTTTATTTTCAGAAGACATAATATATACCCTTTGGTGAAGGTTGAACTTGCTCATGGTGGTCGAGGGCAATCATCCTCAAGTGATCGCCGTGGTGACTATGGAGGTGGACGCAGCAGTGGTGGTGGTGGAGCTGGACGTTTTGGCATATCACGGCATTCTGAGTACCGAGGTACCTCCTGAGATATGAATAAATGTGAACTATAACATGGGCTAATGCAATTTTACATCTCCCATTTAGTTTGTTTGACAAGTCTTCATATGTTCAGTTATGTAGTTTTTCTTCAAAAAAGTTGTTTTTTGTTTGCAGTTATTGTTCGAGGGCTGCCATCATCTGCCTCCTGGCAGGATCTTAAGGTGACAAACCATATTTAATGCCTGCAACTTGGTTTTTTCTGTAAGGTTTGGCCTCTGCAGCCTTGATATATATGACACAATACCTTCCCCAGGATCATATGCGCAAGGCTGGTGATGTATGTTTTGCCGAAGTTTCCCGTGACAGTGACGGTAGGAAATGCAGCATCTTTTGTTTGTTGTTTGGTATAATTATGAGTATGTTTTTTTGCATGACTTTTAGTGCCATGGATCAAGTATCTTAACAAAATATTTATATGCAGGGACATTTGGCCTTGTAGACTATACCAACTATGAGGACATGAAATATGCTGTAAGCTGTGGCAATACTTGTTTGGGCATACATGTGATGTTTCTAATCCCTGTTTTTAACTCCATTCAGCAACTAATGTTTTTGTGTGTCGTCAGATAAGGAAGCTTGATGACACTGAGTTCAGAAACCCCTGGACAAAGACCTATATTCGGGTAACTTGCTTCTTTTTCTTTTTATTCATTAAATTTGAACCAAAACAATTTTCTGAACTGTTGCAGTAGTTGATTTTCCATTATTCTTCGCCTTGATATTTTCCACACTGAAGTTGCAACTTTTGATCTTTTATATTCGTTGTTTTTGTTCTATATTTTTCTGGATAGCCTAGTTGTCTCGAATGGTTGGTAATATTTTTGTGGTGGATACTCTATTTTTCTTTTTTCTTTTTGGAGAAATTGCTTCACAACTCCTCCATGATAAGGTTGACATCTGTGTATTTGTTTTCTTATTGGTGTAGGTAAGGAGGTACGATCGTAGCCCATCAAGGAGTCCCAGTAGGAGCCGCAGCAGAAGCAGAAGTTTGGGAAGGAGCAGGAGCAGGAGGTATGAACCTAATTCCTTTTCCTGGTTCTTTTGCTCTCTTCATTAATTAGTATTATTAGTAAATGTCTGGAAAATCCTTACCTTTGGTTGCAGCAATTCCTTGGAGAGATCTGTCTCAAAATCGCCATCGAAATCTAGATCTGCATCTCCAGTGAAACCATCAAGGTGTGATTGCATGAAGTCATAATATCTTTGTATATATGTTGAGGGATTCTATGTAGTGCGCAAGGAGAAGTTGTTGGGTGTTAGAAGGGTTCTTCTTTTGGCAGTATTTGTTGTGTGAAATTCCTTGAACTTTGTTTCCCATGCCTAATGGAAGAAATGTGTTTTGCTTCAATTTTCTTGTTTAATATATGTGCAGAGCAAGATCGAGGTCGAGATCAGAATCTCCACGTCCGCGTCAGGTAAAACCCCATTTTCTTATTCCGAATCCAAAGGAAATTGTATTATTAAAATTTATTACCTGTACAGGTGAGGAGTCCCTGAGCAAACCGAGGGATTCATGTGTGTTGATGCAGATGCAGCAGCATATAACTTGGGATTTGATTATGTGTTTTGTTTAGTAGATAAAAAGAAATGGTAGTTTGTGTAGTAGAAGTAGAATTGAAGTGGTGTAATGTAATGTAGTAATGCGAGTCTTGCTGCTTATTTTAATTTTTCGTTCAAAATGCGGAGTGCTATTGCTTCAAACATTGCAACTTAACTTATAATTGCAAGCATTATCGTTTTGTCAATGATTTTCAGGACAGGATTCAGACATCAAAAACTGGGACTTCATTTCTGTTTTTTTTTTTTTTCATCAATTAAAATTAAAACTTTGATGTATTATCTAAAAATGAACCCTGCAAATGCAAATGCAAATGCAATAGGAATAGACTTCGTTATAAATTTAACTTTGCATCAAATAAACATTTTTGTTTAGAGTTTGGTTCATTCTTTGGAGGTTTAACAAAGAATTTAAACAACCTTATAATATCATTTTCAATAGGAACCTTATAGGCTAAAATTTGAAGTCCTCTTCTAAACAAATTTTAGGAAAATGTGTGTTGTAACTACTCATTAACATTAAAAAGTTTTTAAAAAGAAGTTGACAAAAATCTTAGATATGTGTATGTTGATTTAAGTTATCCAACTATGTTCGATAGCGGTGTTGCAAAATACTCTACAAATGTTTGACTAATATTAATAGTTTGTTTAATTAGAAGTCATAGTTTTAATAAATCTCATATAAGGTGACAATAACGATTTTAATTTTTGTAACAAATTTAATTAAAATCTCATTTGAAATTATGAAAAAAAACATTCTATAATTTCTCAAGTGAAAATTTGAAGGGTGCGTAAGTTGTAGCAACAATAGTAGAAGCTCAAGATGATTCAAAAAAAACCACATCATTAAACTAAGATAGTGGATATTCCCCCATAAAAAAATAATATTAATATCAAGTGGGGTCAATGCCCACATATCATATATTAAATTGATAGAAGCAAATACTACACTTCATCGTAACATTTTATAATATTTGAATTGTAAATTAGCGGGGTGCATGAAGCTTTGATAGTAGGAACACCAAGACAACGGATAAGTAACTACATCACCAAGCAGCATAATGGGCATTCTCATTAAAAAGAAAAACCATGTAAGCTGAAGACCCATATATTAGATATTAAACTGTGAACATATAATTTACTTTATATAAACAAAAAAACTTAAAAATCCATTTTTAGTCATTTCTTTTTGTAGCAATCTTTCTCTTGTCACTTTCATTCCATAGTCCAAACGGGATGTAAGCAATACGAGAAAAAAGTTGACACTTTTCTTTTTATATCCACCTCCCACTTGACTCTTTAATTTTTTGATCAAATGAACGATGAAAACAATGATGTGAGGAAATAATGATTTATAATGCTTAGAAGTAGTCACCTGATTATCCATGATTATTGCTTTTATATAAATAAAGATAAAGATATAAAGATATTGATTATAGATATCTAAATAGACCAAAGTTATTTTGCAACCCTTGTAAATCTTACAAACCAAACAACCCATGCCTTGACCCTTAATTGCTTAATCCATGGCTCTGATGAATTTGATCGGTAGTTTTTAATTTTCAGTTTATTTAATAACTAGTGTAGAAAACGTTATGAGTACTTTGGTTAATAATATGAAGATTATCTATATAAATATATATTAGTTGTTAATAAAATTATGAACAAGTAGTATTCAAATAATTTGAAACAGTTAATAAAATCTAATTAGTAAAATTTTAATATATATATACTAGTTGTATGCCCGTGCAATGCGGCGGGATGTCAAAATTTTCAATAAATCTACAACTAAAAAAAGTGCAATCTTTCATTAAAAAGTACAAAATTTATATTTAAACATTCGATCTTTCAGGGGAACCCTTAGAAATATTTAAACCTCGATTCCTTATAATTGAGTACACGCGCGATCTAACAAGATGTAATCAAGTACTATGTAACAAATAAGGAATAAAAGGTGAACTTAATTGTACACAAGCATGCAAATCAATTATGGTGTCCAAATAATTATAATGAAAAAAGAAACAGATATCTAATGAATACATTTGGAAAAAAAAAAATATTATCTTATACAAACCAAAATAGAAACCAATATCCTAATCAACCGAAATGACCAAAAATCAAACCCCACCGCCTCTAGATCAAATGCGTAATAGTTCAATCTCCACTTTAACAGTCATTGTGAAAGCATCTATACCAACATTTGCATCCAAGGAGTCTACAAATGAACGTTCAAAGTAGATGGAGTCGGTGAGCTGAGTATTCTCTTATATACACAATGAGTATATATAAGAGAACAAAAACAGAAATGTTGGAACAACTTGAAGATTACATTATATAGGTATGGTGCTCATTTTGTATGTTACTAACTTACTATAACAACTAGGGGTGAGCATAGGCGGGTACCCGCCCTTTTTGACAGGAACCGGAACCGGAACCGGAACCGGCGGTTCTTGAGATATTGGAACCGGAACCGGAACCAGTTAAAGCGGTTCTTGAATTTTTGGAACCGGAACCGCCGGGACCGGTTCCGGTTCCGGGTACCCGCTTCTTAAAATATTAAAATTTTGTTATTTAGAAATAAAAATAAAATATTGCCAAAACACTAAATTAAATAAATAAGAATACAAATTATACGGAATAATGGTTACAAATATTGTTTTAACGATTACAAACCATAATAGACTAATAGAAAATGTTCAAAGTTTAATGATTATATACTATAATTATAAATGTTCAAAACTTAACGATTACATACTACTAACTGTAGTTTAGTAGAACTAGAAAGTAGATGAAGAATGAAGATGAYCGCGTCATTTGAAGATGTAACYTAATATAAATTTGGTATTGAAAAAAATCAATTATTTTTTTATTGAAAACAACCGCCGGTTCCGGGTACCCGGCGGGTAACAGTTCCGAAAAACTGAGAACCGGAACCGGAACCGTTCTCAATCGGTTCCGTATTTTAGGAACCGGAACCGGAACCACTCATATCGGTTCTGGTTCCGGAACCGGCGGTTCCAAGGCGGTTCCGGTTCCGCAAACGGGTATCCGGTTCCGCTGCTCACCCCTAATAACAACTAACCCAAGTACACAACGCACACCAATACCTAATACAAATTTTAAAATATAAATCAATAAATAAATGTTTTTAAATATTAATCAATAAATATTATTTACTTTCATTAATATTCCAATTATTATATTGATGATTATATA